TGAGAGAACCGATCCGTATTCTCGTCAAGAAGGAAGAGCTCACTCTCGAGGGAATCAAACAGTTCTTCGTTCTGATAGATCGCGAGGAATGGAAATTCGATACGTTATGCGATTTGTATGAAACGCTTACTATAACACAAGCCGTCATATTCTGCAATACGCGTAGGAAAGTGGACTGGCTCACCGAGAAAATGCAACAACGCGACTTCACTGTTTCACACATGGTTTGCACACTCTTACTATTGTTTCACACTTCTAGTCCTCCCTTCACTGAAAAAGCACTTTAATATAAATCCAATTTATGTCTAAAGATTGTCGCTGTGAAGGATAGTATATGTAAGGCTTTGGGTGAGATGCGGCTCTCTATAAATGAACCGATATCTCAATGGCTTTTACTACACGTTCTCTAGTCTTTAGATAACATTTAATTAATGAATGTATGTTTGAATTGATGTGTAATGAATGGTGTGTTTGTATTCCCAAAGCACGGAGATATGGAGCAAAAGCAACGCGAAGTAATTATGCGTGAATTCCGTTCGGGTTCGAGTCGTGTGTTGATCACTACCGATCTGCTCGCCCGAGGCATTGACGTACAACAGGTCTCTCTCGTTATTAATTATGATTTGCCCACAAATCGGGAGAATTATATCCATAGGTATGAGTGGTTTGTGTAATGGTTTGATTGGCTTGTATTGAATGGTTTGTTTGTCGCAGAATTGGAAGAGGAGGTCGTTTCGGCCGCAAAGGCGCTGCCATTAACTTCGTGACGGCAGAGGACAAGCGGGCGCTTCACGACATCGAGCAGTTCTACAACACACAGATAGAGGAGATGCCGCTCAATGTCGCGGATCTAATCTAATTTAAATTTAATATAAACTGTCACTCAATTTGGATGTCTTTTTTTAATTAATTATTTTAATTAACGAAAGCGTTAGAAATCAGTGGTAATGAGTTTATAAAAGCTGTTAATATTTTAAAATTTAATGTTTTTCTAAATTTACCATTGATTTCACACTTTCAATAAAATTAAATAAAAAAATGGGAAAATTAACAAAAAATTATAACTTAAAAAAAATCATCACAAAAATGATATAAAAATTCATTCGAAAAGTGTATTGTTTTTTGCGGTAAATGTCTTCTCATTCGCTGAGAATGTCATTAATTGTAATTATATTTTCGGTATAAAAACCATCATTTATTAGTGTCTTATTTTCCAATCATTAATTCCTAATTTATCGACAAATAAATCAGTTTTAAAGTGACTAACAATTCATTAGATTTTTTAAATCAAATTTTGTATAAACGTTACTCAATATAAAATGTGGTAATTATTGATGCATTGCTTTACAAATGCCAATTCAATGTTTAGTAAATTGTGAACTATATATAGAAATAACTTCGAATTGAATAATGAAGTGAATGTGCATATTATGCACGACATCACCAGTTAGTATGACATTCATTATCTTATTTTTGATTCATTTCTTATTTAAAAGTTCATAATTCGTTTACAGTTACAGTTGGCAACACTACCAGTACTGTACAAATGATGCGATTTATTCCAATTAGTGATGATTCCTATATTTGTAGTGCCGTTTGATTTAACTATTAGATGCAATTGTATGCGATTGTCAAATATATATTCTTTTAACTAAACTTTGTTCATTAATTAGTAGTTTTCTATACAATTAATAAATTGAATAGAATTGGTATTGCATTATATTGAGTACACATACATGTAGTGCTCAGATAGGTGTCAGGTATTAGAATTGAGGCCCTATTTAGACGTGACATTTGAAAAGTGGTACACGTGTGAGGTGTGAGCCGTTCAACTCATTCAAACCGGTAGTGGCCTATACTCTACCTTCTCATCCAACACTCATAGCTGTGAATTCAAATGTATGAAAATTGTATATATAATGGCAAATATAATAGCAATTAGCAACATTCTCTGCATTTTAAACAATTTGGCTAAATTTACATTGTTTAGAATATTTGATGTAAAAACTACCTGTTTAGTTTAGGAACACAGTAGATTTCTTCATACAATGGTTGATAAAAAATGTATACATTTATATTATAAATGTTCAAATATTAGTTCATATTTTCATTACCTATTCTTTAGATTAATTAATACAAAAACATTTCTGACAAGTGAGAATTAACTAAAAAGTGAATTAATGTTCACAATCAGTGATTAAGATATCCAGCAATCATTAATACTACACTATCATTACTGTATTCATGATAACTATGTAATTAATTAAATAGTTTATCGTAAATTATTTTAATAAAAGCAAACATTTTACAAATAAAATTGTATTTATTTAATAAATTATTAATAAATATATCTAACCCTCCATTCAATCATTAGACAAATATTAAGAATAGAAATAAATAAGAAAATATATCACTTTGTGATTAGAATTGAGACAACAGTTGTGAACAATTTTGAATTCATTTAATCCTTGTATTCGTTAACACTTTTTGTTTGTTAATATTGCTTAACATTAGACTTATATACGATGTCAACAAATCATCCATTTTATAGCCCTTTAATTAAGAAAAATTAAATTAATTTAAAACTATT